CCAGAAATACGCTCCATATCGGGTGTGCGAAACGAAATGCGCGGCTGCGCTTCTGGTTAGGCAATGTGTTCTCATCCACTGAGGGACAAGCCTGACCGAGACATGAAGTTATGCGATGCTTAGGAGTGCAGTTCAAGAGATCGCAGTCGATAGCACTGCCACATCATTCACTTATTCAAGTCATCATCGAAACGTTAGACAGAAGAAAGTCATCTATTGAGTTTGGACGAGCGTAGGCTGCCATACAGGGCTAGACGTGCAACGTAAAACCCTCGGTGCAGGGAACAGGGCGGGTGGTATTTGGTCATCAGCCTCATCGCAGCCTGAGCAAAGATGACAAGCCACAAAGCTGTCTGAAAATTCCAAGCGTGCCATATCCCATCCGCCCCTCCCATTCAGCCCCGTTTCGGAAAGCAATTCTAGTATTTCTGATAGTTGATCGATTACTGATCACCCTCCTCCTACCGCTCTATGGATGTTCAGACTGAGAATGAGGAGGGGGGCACGCTAGGCTTGACCCTGTTACTGTAACCGAGATGACTTGTGCCAATATGCTATGGCGAGTCAACTGGCTAGGGATACTGCCTGGCTCACACAGCGCCGTGACTGGGATCTTTCAAAGGCATATGGCACGGCAATTTGCTATTCCGTCTAAAATGCTGGCAAGGTGCCATATAGTGGGAAATTTGCGAAAAACGAAGTGAAACGGTCGAAAACCTGCGAAGAAAAGCCTTCGTTCTCGCTCAGAAAGCAATTTCGGACGAGTTTCCCGTAGGCATCTTGCCAATAACCGCTACGGTAGATACGGCTGCACGTATGTACTCATATATCCATGCAGCACAGCGGCTGCGACATGCAAACCCCTTCGCTTCAAATTTTCTTCGCAAATGAAGCAATACGAGCATCAGGTACGGTCGTCCGTGGTGGTCCATTTGTGGGCGAGTCGGCGCGGTGGGGGTGGTCGGTATGTTGCGGCCTGATAGGGCCTTATAATAGTACCTACCTTAGAAGCGGCACGCCTTCTCAGGGCGTGCGGACATTCATCCTGCCAGGCGGTTAATACTCGTCTCAGGAGCTGTAGCGTAAACAACTGCCTTCAAGACACAGCCAACCTTCAAATCCAACAGTGGTCTCCAAAGCTAGCGAATCTGAACCCTTGCAGCAGTTCCGTTATACTAACTGATATCAACTTCGTGTCTGTGCTCGGTTTCACGGCTCACAGTCAACTGACAAGGCGCTCAGGCCGATGCGAATGCCAGCAGCCGCTGTTCCCTACTGATCTGCTGGGCGATGATATAGCCAGTGGTGTACTTGACAGAGTATTCTCTCTATTTCAACACAATCTCTTACATCTCTTACCATCGTCCTTGTCTTTTCCGCGGCTGCATCCCTCTCCAAACTCCTAGGAGGCCTTTTTCAAAGCAGTTGGCACCATATAACCCTCGCAGAGAATTTGTATTACCAGCTGCCCCTAACAGCGACCGATTTCGGCCCTGGCAGGGCTGCCGTGCTCTTTTTCAAGGATGCTACGGCTGGAAAGCACACCATCAAGTTGTAATACACCAACCAGACGCCCATCGCGCCCGCTCGCCCACAAATGTCGAACTGATGCTGATGCTCGTATTGCTCCATATGCGAAATACAGCATGAAGCGAAGATATTGTTATGAAGCGGCCGCGGTGCTGCATGGGTATATGAGTACATACGTGCAGCCGTTTCTACCGTAGCGATTATTTGCTCGATGTTTACAGGAAACTCGTCCGAAATTACTTTCTGAGCCATGAAGAACGAAGGCTTTTCTTCTCAGGTTTTTGCACCCATTTCACTTAGTTTTTCGCCAATTTCCCACTTTATAGCACCTTGCCAGCATTTTAGGCCGAATAGCAAATTATCGTGACATATGCCTTCAAGCCGCCTTCCAAGCTGTTGCCCCTATTGACCTTCGCTCGGTTCAATTTAACGCCACGATTTTTATTGACTGCAAGAGCAAAAGAGATAAGGTGCTAAAAAAAACACGGAGCTATTCGCCGAATGGTGAAAGCAGGACAGTTTGGGGTCGAAACCTGATCAAGGAAGTGGAAAGCCAGCGCTGAAGGGCAGTGACTGCTAACATTGCAAGGTCATACAGACACAATGACCGTCGAGGAATTCCATGTTAAACCATGAAGCCAGCCACTTTTGACCGCGGGGAGCGTCTCTGAGATGGAATAGTTCAACTTGTATCTTTCTGACAGGATCAAGGAGGAAGGTCGTTTTTGAGGGCGCGTGACCATTGGCTGAAATACATTTCGTATACAGAACAGAGGGGTGGAGGAGGGGGTACTCGTATCAACATCTTCTTCTGGGCTATGCTAACTTTACTAATATGTGACTCGGCCGAAGCTTTTTTTACCCCCCCCCCCCTCCCTGCACATGACTCAGACACATTCAACCCACTGGTTGTTACCCAACCATTTCCTGAAAAAAGCCCATTACTACCCGTTCGGCAACAACGGCAGAGTCGTTTACTACCGAAAGAATTCGAAATAGAAATGTGGCCATAAATTTTTCCTTAATGGTTCTTCTTGTACTCTCTATGATGGACGCGGTATTGATCACGGCATAGCAGGTACCGCGCCCTTCCTTGTGACCAGGGGATGATTAGCGAACCCTTGCCTTTTTTCCACAAGGGCTTGCTGGCTCCTCACAGTGTCATCCCCAGAACAAGCTAAGAGTCTGCAGAAACACGATTTATCAAAGCTTTATTGATCAGCTTTCAGCGGTAGAAAGAAAAAGTTCAGCCGTAGAAAAAATGCCGTAAACGAGATTCCTGGAAGGAAGTAGAGATCGCAGTGTAGCTCAGGTTACGCCTTCATTGAGGCTTTTGCAATTTTTCCAGCGATTAGACGTCGAATCTTCTGCAGGAATTGTTTCACTTTCGCCTGAAACAAAGGAATACCGCCGTGCGCAGTAATTGATAGTTACGACTCGTTCTACAAGCGTTGATACAAAAAGGGCACCTTTACAGATGGCGGTTTGCCAGCTTTTTCTCTCGATAGGGACTTTTGCGCTGCTGACGGCTTGCTCGGTTTCTTTTCTGACCTTGTCGGGTAGTAGCAATAGGTGGGATATTGTTTTGCCTGTAACAACACCAATGAAAGGCTTTTAACGTCTGGGCATACTAAATAATTGAGGTGTACTGCTTTCATTACTCCCTTTCTAGGATACGCCATGCACACCACTTCTGGTCCGAATCGTAATGGCTTACTGAATGTTGCACAGCTTATTTGATGACTGTGGGCATCAGCCTATGTTCTAGTTGAAGTTTCTATCCATCTGTACGATGTAACCAGCCTCAGTGGAATGGAAGGCTCAATAGACACGGGCGAGAGCCGATCCAAACCTTGACCCCGAAGCGCGAGCCTCACGAGCGGCGCCAGGTCGCCACCCCCATCACTTCGCGTTAACAATTAAAAAGTCATATATGCAGTCTTGCGAGGTGCTAATAATAGCATGTTCGGGGCTGTGTAACGGCATTTGGGATACCCTAGTAATTATCGCTCCATAGATATGCAACAGGCCACCTATCCCGACAGCAGCAATGCTTGGATTACGCGACAGCGTCGTTGGCCGAAATCTCAGCGACCGTAGTCGCATGTGAGCAGGCGATTTTGTGCAGAGGGCGTATTTTGGATGTTGAAAAGGGTACGAGCTAAAGGGAAATGCTTTAAATAGAAAGAGTCCTTCTTGACCACTCCTGGCGTCCAGGGTAGTGCACAGTTGATGCCAGATGGGGCGGTACCGAGATGCTTGGAAAGAGCTTACCTCAAGCCCGTTATCCTACCAATAGGAGGTTGGCTCAGTGAGCAACAACAAACCAGTGACAGAAAGACTTCCGCGGTGAACCATTTCGCGGACGGGCTGCCTTGAATTGGTTAAGAATCAGCTGTTCTCGGCAAGTAATCAAACGGTGGGGTCACCAGTAAACATCATGAACGAACTAAGGCCGCTTATCAATTAGTACCGTGAGTGAGAAGAAGCCCGACACCTCGAATCAAATGTGTTTTGAAAAAAACAATCAACACACATTCGACATTTTTTCATTCCTTATTTCTGAATAAGTTCTTTGAAGGCAAAGCCCGCGATCATTTGCACAGAGTGGATTCGAACTTTGCATATGGCCAAAAGTTACAGAGTTAACCGACTAGTGAAGAAAGCAAGCATAAAAGCATAGCCAAGTCTCCAAATAGCAACCCCAACTTCCGTCACCAATTGCCCAACATTCCAATGAAACTCCGATCTACACATTACGCTTTCATCCGCACAGCTAATTCCCCGATCAGAGCTCTGTGATCGTACAAGTCACAATTTTCATACTTTTTCGTCCTCCAGCCTCGTGTTTCTACTACTGAAGACAGGCCTTGGAGGCAATCCTGGAAGGAGGCAGAGTCACTGGAGAAAAGGAGGCGTCACTGAACCTATTTTGCGTCATAGCGCCCCTCCCTTACACTTTTTTGCTGCGAAACCGGTACAGGATTGTTCGTAACGGACCGCACTATCCTCTTGACGCCATATTTTCAACTTCTATGCCTGACCGCGGACCGTGCCTCTAGGATTTCTCCGGACGTGTGTGCTATGGCTTTGTAGACGATTTAAGAGCTTGATGCATCCAGTCCTTTTTTCAAAAAGAACTCACCGGTTCTCTGGAAATGCTCGATGCACACACATTAACGATCATTACTGACGAATGTTCCCCTTTTGAATGGGAACGCGAGACGAGCTTGGACCCACTGAAAAGCCAGAACATTTTGCAAGGAGAGGAAATCGAGCAGCGGAAATTTATGCGACAAAATGACGCGATGCCCAGAAATTGACTTTCATGCTCAAGGCATTTGAGAAGAAGATCCAATTATCCGAGAGCGACGACGTAATCAGTGACGAAAATAACATGAGATGAAATGAAGGACAAGTCAAGTGTGCATGAAATCATATCCATGCACGAAATGTGTACGAATAGAAGTTTGTTGTGAATCGTGCAGGCTGAGGCACAAGAATATTATAAGCAAAGCACATGCACACTCTCGTGCGAGGGAAGTCCTTTCCAATGGCGAGGTAAATGAGTCTGCAGCTGCATTGCCGTTCTATTTTCCCTCCACTCAACGATAAATGGGGCTTCATGGTAGGGGTACTCGAATCCCTTGTCCATACTCCACGCGCGCTATCGTCACGATACAGCAGCTGCGTCGATACCGAGGTTCCGCAGCGAAACACGTACTCAGCGATAGAGAACAACCGGAATTGAGAGAGCATAGACATACAGCGCGTTTGGCTATGAGTAGCACCTCGCTGACCGTGCGGCAGCGCGGGTGAAGTATGGAAGCAGCATCCAGGCTGCACTACCCTCCATCCCCGTCCCACGCACTTTTGACCGGAAAAGGTGTCAGGCTACTGCAGCTGCGGACCCATATCCTCTCAGACACGGCAAGGACCAGGGTCCACAGAGGTTAGTGTACAGCTGTCTTCAAGGGAATGCTCCTGATCGTTAATGGAAACCTAGGCTGAGAGTCTACCACTGTAC